GAGGATAAGAAGGACAGACGCAACAACATTGTCATCCCCTATGTAGCCGGTGTATCAGAAAAACTCAGGAGAGTTTTCTCCAAGCATGACATCCCGGTGCATTTCAGACCCAATAAGGAGCCGGCTCGCGTCGTTCACTTCAAAGAGTCGGGTCTAAGAGCCATTTCGTTCATGACGACACATCACTACCCAGCAGTATGTAAGTAACCGATGCAGCATTTAACTGCAGCATTAAAAGTAAATACAAATTAACCAATCAATAGTTATGATTCAGTCGCGTAATACATACAGGCTTCTTCACGCTGAGTGCTTTCACTTCAGCTACTTTATTTTAACGCTAAAACATTTGTGCTATTACTTACAGAGATTTATGATTTTTTTAATGCAAACAGTCTGAATAAATGTTTCACCGCGATATTCAACAGCAGCAGCGAGGAGAGCTTTCAGTGCTGCCAAAGCAGCAGAGGTAGTTTGTAATAAATTACAGGATGACCCCAGCTTTAATAACAGGACCATCCTCAACACCGACCAAGTGTGTCTACTCTTGCAACTGCTTCAATCCATGCAGGCCAGCTGTGGCTGAGCAGGTCACGTGCCAGTCGAAAGGTCAGTGGATCGACCCCTGGCTTTTCCATCTTGGGCAAGATGCTGAACTCTGAGTTGCCTGTGATGCATCCATGTGAGTGTGACTGTTAGATAAAAAGCTTAGGCATTGATAAAAGCACTGTACGAATGTGTATGTGTGGGTGAGTAATGCTGAGATTGAGTACAAAACAAAGAATCAAAGCCAGTTTTCATCTGTGCCACAGTACAGGGCTCTATTAGCCTGTAAATAGTGCACAATGTTTTCTACGCTACATTTATTCCTGATTAAATATTCAAATTTGCCGTATTCTTGCCCCCTGAAACGCTCTGATTGGGTATTCTAGTACAAGTGATATATATATATATATATATATATATATAATATTTTTCACAAGATACCCTGACACGCCTCCATGTAGTTGATAATCTTTATGAATTATTTAAAAGGGGTTTGTGAAAGGTTTTCTTCATATGCGTATTAATATTATATACTAATAGTCCTTAGTTGCAGTTGCATATTTTCTGAACACCTTATCTTGAGAATGATTTACTTCCTTGCTTTTTTTGCAATACATGTGTCTGAAGTAAAATTAATTATTGATATTTATAAACGCTGACAAAGTGTAACCCTAACCTTTAAACACTGACATTTTTCCTCACTTTAATTGACAAAGTGCAGATTTTACATCCTTAATTTTCTTGCTGGTTTAATGTATTGCTGACTGCTACAGCATAAAATGGAATAAGCGAGAATAATTTTCAAACTTTGTCAGTTGCATGTTTTTGTAAATCACAGAAGCATATTTTCCAAGCTCTTATCATTGCTGCCATGTAGATAGGTCCAGCTTATGTCATTCAGTCACAAAAGAGATGATTCAACCACGACCCAGGTGTTACGAATGCCAAATCCCTGTCACACAATGAGGGCTACTTAAACAGAAAAAAGCCATTGTTATATTTATTTGTAAGACTTGTGCTTTTACTACCATAACATGTGAAAATGACAAAGAAGGATCACCCAGTTGCTCCCACTAAGCTTTGGGGCAGATTCCCCCTTCAATTAAGATTAAATTGACTTTGACCTAGCATATAATCCAAACTGAGACTTATCATTGTGTTCACAAAGTTTTGCACAGCACTTTGGTCAGTTTCTGCTGTTTGGATTGTGATGCATAAACAAACTTGAAAACGTCGGCTTAAAAAGAAAACTAAGAACCCCATCCTTATCAAAGGCATAAACTCTGCCAACAAATTTTGTTTGTTCAACTGAAAAAGGCTCAATCATTGAGCAGTAGATGGACCACTATTTGTTTTAGGTGCACAGAAAGTCTTATAGACTTACAGGCTCTGTTTACACAGTTCTTAGCCTAAAAAAGTGAAGTGAGCATAGAGCCTCCATTCTTTTTAATGGCCAGCAGGGGGCGACGCCTCTGGTTGTAAAAAGGAAATCCGGTTGTACAGAAGTTTGGGAGCAAACGGCCCTCGGCTCCTTCACTCTGTGACCTTGGTAAACACTTATGGGCTCAGTGACTGTCTTCAGGCCATACTGAAAAAACCCCATGATGTTTGTCAATAGGAAATTGTATTTAGACGTAATCTTTTAATAATATAAGTTTGTATATGGTAGAATACTGCATGTAATCATTAGTGTCTAGTTGGTGACATAGTGAAAGAATGTCTAATCCTAGGGGGCCTGTAACACTTCCAGGTGTTTTAGTGTCTGCCCCCACATCCTGGAAGCATGGGGAGAGGTTGCACCTTGTTTTATTGTTTTATTGTTTTACGTTATTATGTCTGTTTTAGTCTAAGTGCCTTTTTGTCTAGATGAACTGCTGGACTTCTTCACTGTGTTATCTAGGGTGAACCATCTAGGGTGAGGGGGAGATTACCCTCTTCCTGACCAAGGATGTTTCCTTTTGTGCTTTCATGTTATATGACCCTTTGATCAGAACACACACACACACACACACACACACACACAAACACACACACACACACACACACAAAAAAACAAAAAACACACACAACACACACAAAGAACAAACGCTCACTGAAGTATAAATAAAGACCGGGGCAGTTTCTCAGCGCGAGTCACTGAGACTGCCCTTGCTAGCAAGAAGTTCTGTGTGTTTCTCTTCTCTGAGTCTTTACTGAAGAAGTGTTTTAGAATATTTTCCCTAACATTGTTAATCTTGTAAATGATTGTCTTTCTAAGCATCAGAAAGGGGGAACATTCAGATTTTGGTTATTAGCTAACATCTTGCCAAACACAAATTTATCAGCCAATGATCATGTACTTTCCCAGTTACAGCCACACTTTGCTAAAAAACATCAAGATGGAAAAAAAACAAAACACTCAGCTCGAGGCCAGTGGGTGGTGTCACAGTAGATATGCGGATCCTTTATGCTGTCTGTGATCTTAGGCGATCAGATCAAGTCAACTACTCTAAGTACAAATAAATCTCCACTAGTATCCTGTGCTACGACACAGAAGTTCACCTCAACCAGGTAACTTCAGCCCTAACTCTGGATTTTCTGTATACAAAGGTGGCTAACCATTTACTGACATAAATTATCATGATAACTAATGCTGCAAGCTTAGCCTGCTCTGGAGTAGGTTATGATCCAAATCTGAGATCAACATATGACATAAACCGACCAATCAGTTCTCCAGGAAATAGTGCTATCATTGCTAGAGGCTGACTTCAAAAGGGCTTAACCTAATTAATTTTGGTGCTCTTTTCCAGACTTACTGACTAAAGCACTTAAAGCGCACACTTGTAATACTACATCACTCTACAGTGCTTTCCCTCTCACACACAGTGGTGTGTTGCTTCAGTCACAGTTGCTGGTAGTATTATTTTGTCTTCCTGTGTAAAGTCTGCTGACATACACTTATAAATCATTGTGATTGGTTAGAAACAGCCAGTGCCACCCCTTTCATGTGAACTTGCAGGGGAAACCCTACATTAGCTTCATGTGACTGTTTCACTGACTCCTGATTATCATTGTAGGGGCAAGTAAATGTAGATATTTGAAATATACCCTGAGTATGTTGAACACGTGTCCAGGAAAATGTGTAATCGCTGCAGGAACCAGTGTTCTTTCCTCTCTTACTGCATCCTTTTAAGTGGTTAATGGCTTCCAGTCTCAACAGCTGTAATCATTTTGTTTCTGACACTTGAGGTTAATATATAAGCATGTCTGTCTTTGTCTAATACATGTGTGGTTTTCCCAGATTGTGTAAAACACGACTCTAGCTTTTGGATGTGCCAGTGCAGAAGTGCTTCAAACCTGCATTTTCTTTAATGACCAGGAGGGGGCGACTCTTCTGGTTGCAAATGACATCCAGTTGTATACAAGTGTATAAGAAAATCATCCTTCAGCTCCCCTGATACACAGCCTCAATAAACACTTTCAACATATGTTCACAGTTTATACTGCTAGTGTCAAGTCTTGGACCACAACCCATCATCAGTTTAGGAAGTAATAGTTCCCATTAGAGTTAAATAGAAGAAAGCCAGGTATGTTTCACCATGTGACTAACAGATAGGCTGTGACTCTTAATGCAGCCAGATCTTCTTCTACCTTCCCTGTGTGCTCATGCAACTTGTAAAACAGAGTTTAGTTTGAAAGAAATGATTAATAAAGATGGACAAAATAAAAGGAAAAAAGTGGAACGGAAAAGCTGTGAGTGTGAAATATAAATAATCTAGAAACAGATGCAGCAAAAAAAAAAAATCAACTGATGTTAGCTGTCTGGGTTGCTACAGGAGACAATATTGCCAACAAGTAGTTACAAGTCGATGCTCTCACTAGCACCAGCCGTGGCGAAGGGCATAATTAGGGACAGCAGTACCAAAAACAGAGTGAAGAACAGACGGAAGAAGATGTAATTGATGTGGTAAGAAAATAGATGGAGGGACGGAATTAGCAAGAGAAAGATCCAGTGATTGAAGTACAATGATTGGCTGCTTTGACCTGTTCATCCTTTCCCCCTTTTTGTTGTATGTACTACTCATTACTCTGAGGAACTGCACAAATATGTGCACGTATTTAACTGGACCATCTGCACTGTTCTCACAGAACATGGCGGGCAAAAAAATCCCTGGGCTGATTTTTGCGTATTGATCCGGTTACATCCATCTTTTATATCCAGTCAAAGGCAGTTATTTAATAGGTAGGAGCTGCTTTAACAGAATCAGTTATTGCAATCAAAATTGATTCCTTATTCTTATTCTTTTTTTCAGCTACTCCGTTTAGGGGTCCATCTTCCTCAATCCGTGGAATTATTCTGATTTGATTTGGCAAAGACTTTATGTCAGATGTTCCTACTGATGCCACCCTTCCCCGGGGCCTTCTTACTTGCTATCTTTTTTCAGCTTTTTGTGGAAAATTCACACGATGTTAACTGCAGACCTTTCGTGTTGTAGGCTGACATGTATGATATAAAATCCAGTAACTTTTAAGAGGTGATGGAATAAGCTATCTTAAGCTCCTGTTTCCAATGATCCAAGATAATAAAGAGGCTGTGTCTTCATTACTAATCGAGCATTGTTACTTAAAAGTCACATGCACCTTTCTGCAACTGCACGTGTTACCTTGACAACAATA